ACGGGGTATGAAAAGGGACTTAGTGACAGCTAATTACATTTTATTTACCAAAGTAGGGTCCTAAACCTAATCACTTCTGATAGTGTTTTATAAAAAAAAAGCAGAATATATACAGAGAGATACACACACACGGGGAGAACACATGCCAGTTGAATATCTTCTACAAGCAAAGGAATGTTGAAATTTCTGACAGATACCAGAAACTAGGAGAAAAGTCCACAGAAGGAGTGCAAATGTACAAGACCCAGATTTGAACTTGCAGCCTATGGAACTGTGAGAAAATTAATTTCTGTTCTTTAAAGCCACTGACATGTGTTACGTATTGTTATAGCAGCATTACAAAACTAAGATACCAACTAAAATTAAATGATACAGCATGGTTAATATTTATTTCAAAGATTCACAAAATTTATACAACAAAAATGACCATGATATACATATAATGTTGGGAGTTTTGGTGACTTAGTGGTTAAAGCATTTGGATTCTAACCAAAAGGTTAGTAGTTTGAACCCACCGGCTGCTCTACAAGAGAAAGATGAGGCATTCTGCTTCAGTAAATGTTTATAGCCTGGAAAATCTATGGGGACAGTGCTACTCTGTCCTATAGGGTTGCTATGAGTAGGAGTAAACTTGATGGCAGTGGGTATATATGTCACTCTAGGCAACCTTTTTTTTTTTTTTTTTTTAAGAAGGGAGAGAAAAAAAAAAAAAAGCTTTTTGTTTAAAAATCACTTAAGTAAATGTTTTGCCCTGTTGGTAATTACTAAAAGATAAAAGCACTGAAGTATTGGTTGTTTTTGTCAAATAAGAGGGGAAAGTCCATCTAGATTGAGAAATGGGGAGAGAAATTAGCTTAACTGAAATGCTTTCTGGGATTTGAGCATAAGTATTATAAGAGCAGCTGAGAAAACTTGAGGGTAAAGCACTGTTCCAGGTTAGAGATTCCACCCAACCAAGAAAAATATTTCAAAAAATCTGTTTTCAAGACAATTTCCAAAGTCTCACATTCTTGAATTATTTTCTAAATTGAATGGCATATGTTTTCAACTAGGTTTTTCAAGAAAGTTTTGTGGGTGGTATTTTCTGAGTTCCTGCATATTTATTAGTATAATTTCTATTGCCTTCATTCATTAAAAAAAAAAGTAATAACCTGTCCCTCACATAACATGGAGTCACAGCATTTTCCTTCAAAAATCAATAGTTGTTGTTCCATTGATTTCTGCCATTAAGCCCTACACAGAAGTGTAAGGTCACCTTGATTTTAGCATGAAGAAGAAAAAAAAAAAATGCAGACTCAGTCTTCTTTTCTCATGTATAAGTTTTCACGTTAATTTATTTCCTAAACACTCAAATTACTTAATAGTTTCCAATTCTCCACCCTGCTAACCTAACATCTTCTCTCTCATCATTTTGATCTTTCTTTATTTTTGTTCAGCACCTGGGAAGAGCTCACCGTGTCTATCTTCCACGTTACGGACACAATTTCTCAGAGTAAAGTCTGTGCTTTTCCACTGTAGATTTAATTTGGCTTCTGTACTTTAAAATTACATTATTCCATCCATTGTATTTTTCATCTTGGCCTTTTCCTCTTAGATGGCCCTTTTCTTAGACTCTCTGATTCTGTTTTATGTTAACTGTATCTTCTTACACTCTACTGAGACTGCAAGTCAATTTGCCTACAAATTTCTTCTATTTCCCTTTTGAGTCATTGGAATGATTTTTCCCTTTTTTTGAATGAAATTTTAAAGATTCATTGTTATTTTTTATTTTTAACACATTCTAATCATGAGGTATTTATACAAAAAAGGTGTTAAAGAAAGGAAAAGATATGAAACAAGGTGGCCATCATACACCCAAGTCAATTTTCGGAATCTGTGAGGCTTTTAATTGCTTTGAAATGGGATTTTCTTCTTTGAGCAGTCTCCAATGTACACTGATAACAATTTCTAGTTTTGTCCTTGGAAATGGTACTTTATATTTAGAGACACTGCTTCTTTGTCTCCACTCAAACTGCCCACCAGCTCCTTCCAGGTGTTTGCATTTGTTGTTGTTGTTGTTGTTCTGTGAATGCATATGAAAAAAGAGATACAGAGAAAGTCTAGAGAACAGGGTGAGTGGACAACACTTCAGAGTGTTAAGAAAACCACAGTAATTATAGTGGCTATGCCTGTTAAAATGAAATGCCTTAATAACCTTTTTTCTCCTTCTTCACTACTCATTATTCCTTCCTAGGGTTTCCTGTCAGTGAATGGATAGAGTCAGAGAGATATCAATGGAATTGGGAATAGAGGTAGGGATTGGGCATAGCACTGTGGAAGACTCAAAAGTAGCAGACAAGCAGTAGAAAGACAACTACTTAGTCTTTAATATGCTTCTAAACCAATGACAGTGAAAAAGAGGAAGATCCTCAATGAGATGTGTTGACATATGGATCCAACAATGAGCTGCAACATAGCACTGATTATGAGAATGGTGCAGGACTGGGCACAGTTCTGATGTACATAGGATCAAAATGAGTTGGAACTGACTTGATGATGCCTAACAACAACAAACTAAGGATAAAGGGGAAAAAAAAAAAAAGAATGAAGCAGAAGCAAGAGTCTTTGTACTTTTGCGCTATTAACTTGTTGGATTTTCAGATGACGTAGTATTAATGGCCCATCAACTAAGATTTTCAACCTCAAAATACTAACCTAAAATTAGTACAATTTCTCCAATACCATGCCAATAGGTTTCAGTGTTTTTATGAAGTGCCATCATTTTTATTTTCTGTATCTTTGCAAGTGCTTTATTTTGAAAGCCCTATGGATCACAACAGTCCAGCCACAGGATTGGGCAGCTTTTTGGCCAATCGTGCATGGGGTTTACATGAGTTAGTGACTTCTCAACAGCGGCTAACAACATATCAGATCCAATTAAACAGGTGTCATTTTATAAACCAAAAATCAAACTCATTGCCATCGAATCAGATCCGACTCATAGCGATCCCTCCTTGGGTTTCCGAGGTGGTATCACTAGGGAAGTATATTGCCCAACCTTCCTTCTGAGGAGTGGCTGGTTGGTTTGAACAGCCAGCCTTCTGGTTAGCAGTCAAATGGCTTAGGCACCACACCACCAGAGCTCCTGTAATTTTATAGGGTAAAGTTTATTTTGCTAACTTCTTAAATCTGCTTTATCTGGGAAATTCTTTCTCATCCTATTGTTCTCAGCTGATATATAGGAGCTAGATCTTGATTGACACTTCTAACTTGTCCACTAGGGGTCTCCTTATTTTGTAACCCTTATAAGAAGCAGTTACTCCTTCAAACCCTTAATTATGAAATGATGATATTTTCAGGGCTCTAGTTGGAGTGGTTTTTAGTGCCCAATGGCCAAGAATGCAATTATGTTGAGGGTGATGATTCCAGCAAGAATTCAAAGGTCCAAATTCCATGCCCCTCTACTCTAACCACACAAGCTTACTTATCCTTTCTGGGAATTTGTTTCCCCCATAATCTACTTATGGGAGCTCTGGTAGCATAGTGCCTAAGGCACTTGACTGCTAACCAGAACGCTGGGGGTTCAAACCCACCAGCCACTCCTCGGAAGGAAGGTTGGGCAATCTACTTCCATAGTGATACTGCCTCGGCAACCCAAGGAGGGGTCACTATGAGTCAGGTCTGACTTGAAGGTACATAACAACAACAACAACATAATCTACTTACAGTCCTAATGCTATGTCAAGATGATATTGAAAACTCATTTCAGAATAATTTCGCTTGTAAAATGCATTATTGCAGCTGACTCTTATGTAGTTCTCTTTGATTCTGTTCCTGGATGCTGGGCATGTTGCGGTATCTTTTGCCTGAGTCAACACCACTTGTCTAATCGCTGTGGCCTGGTCATCCTCACTCTGCTACACTCAAACCTCTACCTCCTTATCTGCTTTTCAGTCTTTATGACCCTATATCAAAATCATTGTCTTAAAACCCATGCTCCTGCTAATTTCCCTTAAAATTCAGGTTCTGTTTTCTTTGCTTTTTTTCTTAAGCTTGGATTTGTAGTATTTTTGTGGTCATTCCTATGCTGAGCAATTTTGTCAATGTCTGCCAGTCTTCACTTGCCCTGTCCCTGGGAATTTTAGAGCTTGCAAAAAAAGGTACAATATTATTATGTAATTGTGTGTATTAATGTGAACATAAGCCAGAATTCCAACTTTGAGACATTTCACACTCTGCTATGTACTTCAGCAATTACAGAATGTTAACTCTTACAAATAATTGCTAATTTTCTGAGATTTAGAGCTTTGACAGTGTTTAATGCTGTATTCAGGATTTTTAAAGTCACAAGCAGCTTATAAAGCAAAGAAACAAATTGTTTGATTTGTCATGGCTCAGAGAATATTCTTATTAACCAATCAGTTCACAAGTGCTTCTGTCTTATTATAGCAATTAATTTCACTTTGTTCTGCAACAATATGTACACTAGCATAGCACATTTTATCGATCTTCTCAAGGAGTTTGTGGACAAACAATTATCTGAAAATCTTGTTACAGATGAGACATCTAAAGAAGAGTCAAATAGGAATTTTTTACAGAAAGATTCACCTTAAGCAGATGTGGTAGAGACCCTGAGAATTATCAGCAAAGCCAAAGCTCAGGTTATTGTCTACACACCAAACTGTCCAATAGAATTACAGCATGAGCTATAAAAGATAGTTACAAGATGTAATTTTAAATTTATTAGCAGTCATAGTTAAACAACTTTAAAAAGTGAAATTAACATTAATATTATATCCACAAAAAAAACAGTCTTTTTGTATGTTAAGAATTCAAAAGCTGGTATGAATTTTACATGTACAGTTCATCTCAGTTGAGACCAATCACATTTCAAGTGATCAACAGGCAACTATGCTAATGGCCACTGTAGTGGACAGTGTAGGTCTAGATTTTTATCTTGTCATTAGATCTTAAGAAAATTTTATTATTGTGAGAGGCAATCATAAATGATTTTCTCTTACCGACACAAGTCTTCTTTTATGTGAAGGGAGATCAATTCCTTAGGAATATGAAAAGAAAGTATGCTCTCTGACATCTGCTCCCGGATTCGCATCCACTTATTATCAGAGGTAGGAAATCTATATAATTTACACACTGGATTCTTTAACACTGGGATAGGGGGGAAAAAAAAAAAAGGAATAGTTAAATTATAAATATATACATATCTAATACAGATCAATTAGGAAAATGGATAATCAGGGTGCCAGTCTAATTATTTGGTCAAAAATTTGCTTTTTTATTATAAAATATATTTGTATTTTTAAACTTCTAAGAATTTCATTTTACATCTTTAATTTTTCAATAACTTCTAGGACATCAATTTTTTATTAAATTGAAATATATATACATCAAACTCTAATTCATAAACATGGTAACTGAGTCTCTAATTTACTACCAATTAATTCCTTCTAAATTTAATACAAAGATAAATGTATTCATAAGTATAGATGAGCAAATGTACATACATGCTTCGGCCACATGTATTTCTGAATTTCTTCTCATTACCCTTAGTCAACTTTACCTACTTACACACTAAGTGGTAATCTTTATGAGGTGCCAGCCATAGTGGCACAATAGTTAAGTACTTAGTTGCTAACCAAAAGCTTGGCAGTTTGAACCTACCAGAGGCTCCATGGGGGAAAAGACTTGGAAATCTGCTTCTACAAAGATTATAGTGAAGAAAACTGTATGGAGCAGTTCTACTCTACCACATGGTGTGGCTGTGAGTTGGACTTAACTCAATGGCATCCAACAACAAAAGCTTTATAATATTGTTTCAGAGGTTTATAAATGTCTACCAAAAATAACATATCTAAAATTATAGAAATGTTCATTCATTTGACTTAATATTGATTAACATTCAAATATTGTGAATATTTTGGTGCCAATGAGTCAGAAGCACATTTTCCTAAAACCACATATGCTCAGGCACAAGGCAGGGAGACCATGAAGAGACTGTGGATTAAGAGTGGATGGGCAATGATCAAGGGGGACAAGTAATAAGGTCATGCAACCAAGTTTAGATAGTTGGAAAATATTTAGTATTTGATACTGTTTTGTGAGACCAGTACTCTCACCACAATTCCAAGACATGGATTACAGGTCAGAACTTTATTTCCAGTTCTGTTTGGCAATGAATGTTTTTGTTACACTCATATACCAAAACTTAATGGGCAATAAAATATCAGATAAATCACCACTCAAGGTTCTATAATTATTTTGCTCCAGTTTACCAATAAAGTCCATTAACAATGGAAGTGATAGTAAAACGGATGTATGGTTTTAACCGAAAAACAAAGTCACTGCCATCGAGTCAGATCTGACTCACAGCAACCCCTCCCGTATCACTATGGAAATAGATTGCCCAACCTTCCTGAGGAGTGGCTGGTGGGTTTGAACTGCCAGCCTTCTGTTAGCAGTCACATTCCTTAGGCACTACACCAGCAGAGCTCCCAAATAATACTGAATATAGTTCTTGGATGGAGTAGCTCTGGTGGCATAGTAGGTAAGCTCTTGACTGCTAACAAGAAGGTTAGCAGTTCAAATCCACTAACTGCTCTGAATGTGGAAGATGACAATTTACTTCCAGAAAGATTTACAGCCTTGGAAACCCAACGAGGGTTGCTATGAGTTGGAATCAACTTGATGGAAGTGTTTTTGTTGTTGTTGTTGTTGTTTTTAACAGTACTTGGGTAAGGCCTCCTTAATGTATAGGAAACAACAGTCATTCAGAATTTTAGGATTATATAAAAACTTATTTCATTCACTACTCAGATAAAAAACAATATATTTTTGAACATTAAGATGAGGAGTTACTCATTCAGTTATCTGCAATTATCTATTCCCAGAATTATAACGTAGACCTTATCATTGTCAGATTTGGTACCACATCAGAAATCTTGATTTAAACATTGCATTCTTCAACCAATAGATATACATCTGGCAGCAACTTTACTCAAGTAGGCTTCTACCCTTTTAACACAAATTAGAAAAGTCATTTTTCAAAAATACCACAGAACTTAGAAGACAGTAGAATATTCCCAGTATGTTGATAGAAAATATTTAAAAATCTAGAATAGTATGCACAATCAAATTATGTGTTTAAATAAAGATATTTTAAAATAAATCAAAGCAATTTGCTATTGTTAGTCATAGTTTTGTTGTTGTTAGGTGCCATTGACCAACTCATGTACAACAGAACAAAACACTGCCTGGTCCTGCGCATTCCAGTTATTGCCATGCTTGAGCCCATTGTTGCAGCTTCTGTGTCAATCCATCTTGTTGAGGGGCTTCCTCTTTTACACTGACTCTCCACTTTACCAAGCATTACATAATTCTCCAGGGATTGGTCCCTTCTGATATGACCAAAATATGGAGGATGAAGTCTGGTCATTCTCGCTTCAATGGAGCTTACCAGATATACCTCCTCCAAGACAGATTTGATCCTCTAGCAGTCCATGATACATTCAATATTTTTAATCAACACCACAATTCAAATGCTTCAATTCTTCTGCAGTCATTCCTTACTCATTGTCTAGCTTTCCCATGCACATGAGGCATTTGAAAATACCATGGCTTGGGTCAGGATCATCTTAGTCTTCAAATAGATATCTTTCTTCTTAAACACTTTATAGAGGGCTTTTCCAGCACATTTGCCCAATACTTTGCTTGATTTCTTGACTGCTGCTTTGATTGGTGTTGATTGTGGATCCAAGTGAAATGGAATCCTTGGCAACTTCAATCTTTTCTCCATTTATAATGATGTTGCTTTTTGGTCCAGTTGTATTTTTATTTTTGTTTTTTTATGTTGAGGTGCAATCCATACTTAAAGCTATAGTTTTTGGTCTTCTTCAGGAAATGCTTAAGTCTTTACTTTCAGTGAGTAAGGTTATGTCATTTGCATACTACAGGTTGTTTATAAGTCTTCCTCAAATCCTGATGTCATGTTCTTCATATAGTCTGGTTTCTTGGACTATTTGCTCAGCATACAGTTTATAAAAGATAAATTCAAGATAAGGATAGAATTTATGTTAAGAAGAAGTGGGAAAAATTTGAGTATATATAAAAAATATTAAATGTATAAAGCAACAATACCTTCGTCACTGAATTAAAAATATAAATAAAACTAATGAATGAGATGACAACAGCACATGAGATCACAGGGAAGGCAGTTGGAATTAATTTGTGCTTAGCTCTTAATCCACTTGTCTGTTAGTGTGTTGTACTGTGGTGGCTTGCATGTTGCTGTGATGCTAGAAGCTATATCATAAGTATTTCAAATATCAGCAAGGTTCTCCATGGTGGACAGATTTCAGTGGAGCTTCAGAGTGAGACAGAATAGGAAAAAGGATCTGGTATTCTACTTCTAAAAAAAAGTTAGACACTGAAACATTATGAATAGAAGCAGAACACTGTCTGATATGTGGCAGAAGATGAGCCCCTCAGGTTGGAAAGCACTCAAAATGTACTGGGTAAGAGCTGTCTCCTCAAAGAAAAGTTGACCTTAATGACACAGATGGAGTAAAGCTTTCAGAACCTTCATTTGCTGATGTGCTATAACTCAATCTGAGAAGGAACAGCTGCAAGCATCTCTTAATAATCAGATTGGAACTTGCCAAAAATGAAATGGAATGCTTGCAGATTGAATCCTAGGTATTAGTGAGCTAAAATGGGCTGATATTGGCTGATTTGAATTGGGCAATCATGTGCACTACTATGGTGGGAATGACAAATTGAAGAGAAACAATGTCACATTCATTGTCAAAAAGAACATTTCAAGATGTATGCCGAAGTACAACACTGTCATTGATAGGATAGTATCCATATCACCTCAAGGAAGATGAAGGAGGCCTTGTGATATAGTGGTTAAAGCACTCAGCTGCTAACTAAAACTTTGGCTGTTCAAACCAATCAGCTGCTTCCAGGTAAAAGGTATGGCTTCTGTAAAGATTTGCAGCCTTGAAAACCCTAGGGGCAGTTCTATTCTGTCCTATAGGGTTGCTATGAGTCATACTTTGATTCTTATGGGCTTGTTTTAATTTTCTTCAGCTTTAACTTGAACTTTCATATGAGCAATTGATAGTCTATTCCTCAGTCAACTTCTGGCCTTGTTCTGACTAATGATACTGAGCTTTCCCATTGTCTCTTCCCACAGTTGTAGTCCATTTGATTCCTGTCCATGAAAAAAAAGTATAACCTTGAGTTTATCCAACCAGAATTTAGAGAGACCATCTGAAGAATAGATTTGACAAACTGAACAGTAATAACTGCAGATAAGATGAGTTGTGGGATGGTATCTAGGAGGTTGTATGTGAAGAAAGCAAAAGGTCATTAAAAAGACAAGAAAGAAAGAAAAGACCAAAACAGATGTCAGATAAGACTAAGAAGTTTACTCTTGAATAGAGTAGCTAAAGTAAACGGAAGAAATGGTGAAGAAAAAGAGATGAATGGGAGGTTTCAAAGGGCAGCTCAAAAAGAGAAGGTAAAGTATTATAATGAAGAGTGAAAAACCCTGAAATTTGAAAGCCAAAAGGAATGAAGATGCTCAGCATTTCTCAAGCTTAAAGAACTGAAGAAGAAAATTCAAGGTTCGAGTTACAATGTTGACATATTCTATGGGCAGAGTATTGAATGATACAGGGAACATCAAAAGAAGAAGAAAAGAATACACCAAGTCTCTACAAAAGAGAATTACTCCAGTGTTCTACCACTCCAGGAGCCAGCATATGATCAAGAACCAATGGTACTGAAGGAGGAATTCTAAGCTGCACTGAAGGCGCTGGTGAAAAACAAGGTTCTAGGAATTGATGGAATACCAATTAAAATATTTCAACAAAAAATGCAATATTGGAAATGCTCACTCATGTATGCCAAAATATCTGGAAGACAGCTACCTGGCCACCTGACTGGAAGAAATCACTATTTATGCCTATTCCAAAGAAAGGTTATCCAACAGAATGTAGAAATTATCAAACAGTATCATTATTATCACATACAAGCAAAACGTTGCTGAAGATAATTCAAGATGATTCCAGAAGTACAATGACAGAGAATTGCCAGAAATTCAAGCGGGATTCAGAAGGGTACACAGAACAAGGCATATCATCATT